GCTGCGTTTGAAGTGATTGTCTACTCTTGAGAGAGGTGTTTTCTGTTAATGCAATCCCATGTAGACTTGCATTTTCAAGTTTACTTTCATAACTGGGGAAGCCAGACTGTGCTTTATACCTTTAAAAAGCAATCTAACAGACAACATTTATTCAGGATACTCAGTTCCTCTTATACTGCGCAGGGGTCTGTCTTTCTCCCTTTCTACAGCTTTTTTAGTTAAAATCTATTTGTTACTGCTACGTTTCCACAAGCTATATTTTTTTCCTCAGTCACAGCATACACCTCAAACACTGTAGCCCTATACTATAGTCATTTCTTTCCCCACTTTTCCCTGCTCTTGGATGTCATTTGCACAGTCATAGCTATTAGTTTCAGCAGAGAGATGAAGGGAGATATTTACATCAATTTTTGCTATTGCAGTGTTTTTTTCCTTGATATCTTTCTATCAATTTGCTGTTTGTGAAATTCACAGTAACCTTTCCTTGCAAAGAAGGAAAACTCCCTGTATTTTCATTGCTGGTCCCCGTGCCCTCCTGCCTCCCCTTCTGTTTACACAGGCCAGTAGCTGACTATAGTTTTTCGTCTTATTATCCATAGTTTTATGTTTTATTATCATGCCCAAACACCATTTTCCTCCAGCTGGAATTTTTATGTAGCTCTCTTTATGAAACCCAGCCCTGTGTGTGTGTGAACACAGTACAAATAATTTGCCTTGTCAACTTCCTCCTTTTGCATATCTAGTATTTTATTATCACTATAGCTACTACTGTAGATAATCTTCCCAGTCATCCACAGCATTCTGTCTGCCACTCTACAGAGTTGATTCTGTGCAAGCACTGTCTGGCTGCAGCCAAAACACTGGTGTGTTGTCAACTCTGACGATGTAGTCATAAATCCAAAAAAGTATTTCCATACAAGCTGCTATGAAGAAAACTAGCTCTATCCAAGCTAGATATGGTATTCTGTATTAGTATTTATTTGTTGTAAGACTGTACTTGTATACTTCATTCAGGTGTATTTTTGTACTTGAATGAAATCAAATCACAAATGCAAATGATAATTTGAATATCTGTTGCCTGGAAATTGATAAGTAAATTGGGCAGTTTACCCAGATGATTAGCAAAAGGATTGCCTAAACCAAACTATAATTGTAATATTATATCAGAATAATATACATAGGAAGTTGCAAGTATACCTTAAGACAAAACTCTTCTCCAGTTCTGATTTAAAATTTAATATTATTTTCTTGCTTTTTTGGGAGGAGCATTGCAAATAGACTGATTTTCATACAAATGGGTGCATTAAATGGACTGAGAACACTGGATTTGTTTCTGATTTATCTTTTCAGTTTTAATGACTTTTTAAGTATGACTTTTTTTTTTTTCTCTGTAACAGCCTAATTCTAACTCAATGATATAAAAAAACCCACATTTATTCCAACCCAAACTGAAACTGGGTGGGGAATTTTTGATGAAGAAAACCTAGTAAGCAATGATTCTGTGACAGAGGAGAACCTTGTTAAGCGCATTGTAATACATATCTAACTATTTTCCTTATTTTACTGTTCAGTCTTATTTCATAACAGATATTGCACATGCTCCAGGAACTTGTTTTCTGGAAGATTATTGCACTTGTCAAGCTGTTAGGGTCACAGGTACCCTATTCAGTCTATATCTATATCTTATCACACTATTTGTGGCTCTCAATCCGGGATACTTTGTCTTTTCATACTGAATAGTTTTACTGAAAATGGAATGCTCCTGTATGTCCAGAGTCTTTCTGCATTCAGACTGTTGCACTTGGGTAGGTGGCTAGCTGAATTTTGGAAAAAAATGAATGATGTGGTCTTAGAAATTACGCTCAGAAAAAATATATATATATATTGACACTGTAACCTGTGCTTTTAGTTTGTTTGAGACTGTGATAATTTAAATTTTCTGTGCATATCAACTTCGTGTTGTTGAAAACAAACAGAAAGAATATGATAAGCACAAAAAAGAAAAGGACAAATTAATTTTTGTATTTCAGTTCACTTTCTGTAACATAAGAACAGTATGACTTAGTGTAAACCCACCAAAAGTATTTTGAAAATTAATTAAGAATTGTGTGGAGCTCCAGAACTTCAGTAATAAACACTTAGGAAAGCAGAAGCAAAGACAAAGATTGACAGTCCTGTTTTCAGAGCAGACTTTCAACAGATTACGATAAATCAATAGTGAAGAAAATAGTGAGGTGATAGGAGAATAAAAAGTGACCCTCAGCAGGGGATTGAAACTAGGTGCTCTTTGAAGTGCTTTCCAACCCAAATCATTTTGTAATTCTAGCTCTTTTTTAAATGAGTAGTGTGAAAGTTGTGTGAAAAAAGCAGGGATTCAGGAAAGAGAATATTTTGTATGATTATAGATTTTATCATATGCCTACAAATAAGATGGCTCAATAGAAGTTTTCTAGACATTTCCAGTCTTAAGAATTTTGTTTTTCAGTTTCATTGTGAATAGTAGTTAACGTCTGGCAGTTGCAGACATTCTGCACAAGCAGATGTCACAACATATTGAATTTGCTTTTTCAGTTCTAAAATGTGTTTATACCTAAAAAAAATAAACTGGTGTCGTTCTTGTTTAGTATTTATTCACTGCCAAATTATTATAACATGGTTGTTCTCCTTTCTCAGGTTATTTTATCCTATGATTATTTTATATGCTAGTCCTACAAGATACATAGAAAAATGAAATTGTTGAAATTTAGAGTTACTGGATATTAGTGAAGGCTGTACTTGGAAAAGCATTGTACAATTTCTTTATTTATCTTTCTTCTCAAAAATACACAACACTGCTTTGTATTCCGCCCTGTTATAAAATATCAGCTATTTGTAACCTTTTTGTATTAAAAGATCCTTTTATAGTGATCTATAGTGGTCCATGTATAGTGATATATATATATATATATATATATATGGAAAGATCAAGATACAACATAGTTACTGTTTGGTGATTAAGATGTCAAAAAAAGAATACAGATAGCCCTTTTGCCACACAAACACGCACAAAGGCAGTTACTGGCTTAGCATTTTCAAGCGTTGCTAAATATTAGATGGACCATTACAGAGTGTGCAATAGCTCTCCTTGTGCCACAATACTTTAGCAAGTACATTTTGTATTGTATGTAACCTTAGCAGTAGATTTTGTTATTCTGTATTTTGTCTGCTTTGGAGTGAAGTTATATTTATTTTATTGCTCTGAAAGTTTCTGGTTTTGTAGTCAGACATCTACAAGTACTTTCAGACTTGAAATGTGAAAGCATAATTCCCAAAAGCACGTTTTTTACAGATCTATTATAGTTTGAAAAGTTGTCTGACACTATATCCTTGAGTTTGGGAAATTATTTCAGTTGAATTGCATTGTATACAATGTCATTTTATTTTCCTCTCTTAAATTATTTACAGTCATACTTCAGATGTAGATAACAATAGTATCAATTGAATACCTGCCATGTTGGTATCATTATTTGTTTTAGAAAAGGGAATCGTGATAGTTTCTAGACTATCTTTAGGTAAGTATAAATGTGGGTACTTTGGTGTCCTCTTTCAGCATCAGCTGTATCAGCTGTGGATACTGCCATCAAGCTGTGTAGGACTGCTCAGCAGGTCAAGGTTATACAATATGGCCAAAAGCAGAAATAAAAGCTCTTGCTTCTCTACTGCAGTACACTTAGTAATTGCTTCTAAGCATTTAATCATCAGTTAGGTCACATTTGCTAATTTTGCACTGAAGTGAGTCAAATTGTGTTCCACTGGCTGCACAGTGAAGAATTATCTTCTGTCAAGAATATAGTAACAGGTACAATCTTGAATCTCAGTCAGTGTGAAAAATGATCCTGTATCTAAGTTTGAAAGTGATTTCATTGCTTTAACTGTAAGAGTACAGCTAAAGCATTGCTGTGCTGCTTTAATTTGTATATATTTTGTTGTGCATTGGATCATTTTGTTGGCTTTTTTCATCCAGTCTTTTAGAGTAGCCTGTTTCTTATTTCTATCCAGATTAAAACAAAACAAAAACAACAAAACTTTTCATTTTGAAGTCCTTTTCACTAGTGACATGTTCTTAGTATTCTTAGTAAAGATGAGCAACTACTAATTACAAAACTTTTTTTTTTTTTCCCGTAGGATGTTTTCCTGTGACCTGACATAATGTTTTCTAATATTACACTACAAAAAAATAGTTTGCTTTAAAAAATATTGCATGCATTTTTTAGAGATAACTAATAGCATAGCAGGTATAATTTAGGATCCAGCTTCGTCTCCACAATGAAGGCATATGTAAAATTATCTACACTTGCACCATTGCATTACATCCAGCCAAGGAATAATGTGTGTAGATCACCACCAGAGTGGGGTGTGCAGTCAAATGCCACAGGTCCCAAGTGAGGATTTATCTCTTAGTTCCTCTGTCTAGCTCCTATCCATATCAGAAGAGCTGGGGACAGTGAAAGCTTTATCACGAACAGTTCATGTGAACTTTTTCCATACACTCACTGAAATTCCATTCCTAGGCACCACACAGTAGTACTTCAGAAAAGAAAGGAAAAAAAAAAAAAAAAAAAAAAAAAATGGCAATACAGAGAGAGTTCGTGGTATTTTTGTAATGCAAATCATCAGAGATCCAAGAAATTAATGATACAATAGTAATTTTAAAACAGACTAGACCAGTGGATAATTATATTTGTCTCTGTTTTACTCAAAACTGTTTATTGGCTGGACATTCTGAGTATCTTCAGTCATATTTCAGTTGACCAGCACCACAGACCTTACTATGATTTGACTACTAACCATAAGAAAGAATTTATTACACTTTGCTATTCTGTGGGACGTTTCACTTCACCATTTGTATCCTAGCACTCATTTTATACTTTTAGATATTAGGTCAGGTACTATTATTTTCACTTTGTTCTGGATAACATTATTTCATAAAGTGAAATGTATGTATATGTTATTGATTGTAGGATGGAATGGGAAATTTGAGAGTCACTAAAAAAGGAATACGACTTGAAGGAATATCTGAATTTCTACTTCCACTATACGTGAAAGAAATCAATTCCCGAAAGGTAGGTGGTTTTTTTATATCATTTTTTCCCTTAATGTGCAGCTAATATAAATGATCTCTTCAGCCTCAAACTAAACGGTTTCATTATTACACCTCCTAAATTAGCGATCCATAGAGGTTTGTTTTGAGAATATGTAACAGCGAAATCTTCCTTCGTGTCATTTTTTTTCCTGAAACTTTGCTTGCCACTTAAAAGAAATGCATCATCCTTAAAAACAAGACTCAAAACTTCTATATTTCGTATTTGAAATGATGTTGGCATTGAGAATGGAGCATTTGAACTCTTCATCAGTAGTTAAGTCTAGAAGTACAAGGTGAATTGTGTGTAAAATGTATTGAAATTGTCAGGGATTTTATTTCCTTTCTGTTTTTAGCTAGAATGGTTTCTTTTTTTTCTTTTTTCTTCTCTTTTTTCTTCTCTTTTTTTTTTTTTTTTTTTTTTTTTTTTTTACAGACAATCTTGTTGAACTGTATCATGTCTCTAGCTTGTAGTTTTTCAAGGCAAGCCATTTTAAAATGCCATTTAAATGCAGTCATTTTCTTATGTGGTAGCAGATTATTATAAAGAAAAGAAGGAAAAGAAAATGCTACAGAAACTCAGTGCAGATCATTTTGATATAGGTGTTTTCACTCATTCGTGCTATTTATTCAACATTATCAGTATGGTATAAATGATTTAGAAACAAAAGTCTCTTAAATTCTCTTCACAATTCATACAATAATCTATAATTAGAGAAGAGTTTTACAACGCTTTTCAATCAACCATGTGAAAAGAATTGTAGTATGTATAGAGCTAAAGCTGGCAAGCAAGAAATTGTATTTACCGTCAGTGTCTTTATGGAAAATTCTTTAGAGTCTGTTAAAATCTATCTTTTGTCTGTATACGGAATGTCTCAAGTACATTCATAAATGAGATCATGACAGCTTCCCATTTCTCTTAATTAGTTCACTCTTGTGTTAATGGATATATGAGATGATTGACAAATCCATTGGTCCTTTTTTTTCTGTAAAACTACCATATTTCAATATTTGACAGAGAAACAATATTATTCTTGATAATGAAAAGCTATTTCTAATGAGATTAATAATCTCATCCTCAACAATTTTGAATCTTTAAGGCTTTAATAAACATATATCTTTGATTTTTCATCATACATTCAGTTACAAAACATTGCTCGTAATGTTTATTTTATAATAGTAGCTTAAAATATTAATTACTAGCTAACATTACAAAATAAGTAGAGTTGTTTCTGAATAAGTGCAAATATCATAGCTTTGATGTTGGTTAAAATGTTTGAATTCTAAAAACAAGCAAACAAAATACCTACCAAAGCAAAGCAACTTAGAAAACACTCAATGCATAATTAAATAAATGACTTTTTAAGCATTGATCAGTAAGATCAGATTCTGCCTTCCAAAACTGGAAAGGCATCTACAATGGGGAACACTGCCCATGTGTATATTATTTCTATGATGTTCTATTGTTTCCTTAAGAATTTTGTAATTTTAGTGTTCTTCAAATTAGTTAGAATAGTCTTTTATCTATTTCTAAATGAACAGAATAGTATGGAGTACTAAACTGTCAGAATCAGTAGAATCCAAAACACATCTGAAACTGCCAAATTTGTTCTTTTACATGCACATGCTGATTATTTTCATAAAGGAAAGTTGCTCTTTAAGTACATTTACCCATTTCCCATTAAAAAACAGAGACAATGAAGTGATATCACCCAATTAACCCCTGATGCAAACTGTAATGAATTTAGTAGTGTTATTTTGGAACATCTGTATTTCTCTGCATTAGCGATGTGATTTGTAGACTGACTCTTGGGAGCTCTCTCTATTACTGTCAGCATTGCAGGTCAGGGCTTCATAACTTTTCCACAGGCATAACAAGGTAGAGTGAGGTGGGAAGACCAATGATATTATCAGCAGGTTGCAGCAGCTGGTGCTAAGAAAGATTCTGTGCTTATATGGGAACTATCTGTTAGCTAGATTTGGAGCTGATAAAACATGTTCATGCAGTATAATTTAATTCTTTGAATCCTGTTGCTACCGAGGTGCACAGATATCCTGGAAGCCTCAATTAAGAGGCTTTTTTTGTATTATCAAAAAGTCGCAAAGACACCTAAGAGTCTGCCATCTTTACTGCTCAGTGCAAAGTTCAGTGCTTGTTTCTGCAGTTACTGGTGACATACCTCTCTGATAAAATCTACAATGGCCCACAGTTCATTTTTCTAATATCTACTCTTCAGCCTTACCCTTCATCTGTCACTCAAGATAAAGCCATTAGTATGGCATAAATAAAAGGGCTCCTTAAGTCATTTGACTCTCAACATGATGTAGTTCCAGTGTACTGAAAGCTCAGTGTCAATTTATTGGCTATGAACAAGATCTAAATGTTTCTTAATCAGAAGATTTGCCAAGGGACAAGTCACTTATATTTGTTGGTGGTCTCTGTAGCGGCTGTCATTCTGAAATTGAGTTGGCTATACTCACTGTTCACTGACAGCAGATAGACCTTCATGATTCATGGTTTTGCCCTTGATTTGCTATACTTCACTGAAACTTATCTGGGGGTCATCCAATTGTGCAAGTCTATCTTCTGAACACATCATTTTTTCATGTCAACCTGGACTCCACTTATTATTACTGTGATTTGTTGCTCATCCAAGGAAGATGTCTGGTTGTATACAGAAAATTCTGACTTAATATTATTGAAGATCTTTATTTTGGTTGATTGCAACTCATGAATAAAGTCATGAGTGGCTATATCCACTCGATTTTATATGAGCCTGAGGAACTGAATTTGATTTGGGAACACTTCTTCAGAAAGATGTGGGAAGTTAATTAAGTAGAAACTGTTATTCTGTTTTTTGTTGTTGTTGTTTTGGCATCAATTGCATCTTCAATTTTGAAATAGTTCCTTGATGTAATGCATGTGTGTTCCATTGGGGCAAATTTAACTGAAACTGTGATATTTCTTTTTGGTGATTATCATATCCTGTATGTGATTCTAATACTCACTGAAACTGAGTATACTTTGTGCTGTTTTAACTGTGTGAATTATCCGAGAAATTACATTATTTTTGTTTTTGTTTCTTTTTCCCTGAACAACTTTAAAATAATGCCATTGGAATTTACAGAGGCTAAGCAAACCCTTAAAAACCATGCATATTTAAAATTAAGAATGATTTCTATTCATTTTTCCAAACAAAATATGATACAAACCAGGAACAAAAAAAGACCTGAAAAGGAGAAAAATCTAAATATTTTTTATCTTATCTCTTTAGGCAGAAATTTATGCATATGCCTGTAGGGAAAAAAAAAAAAAAAAAAAAAAAAAAGTGGAATGGGGCAGGAATAGGAGAAGTTAGGGGGAAAATATCCTTGTATGTCATTAAGTATAAGTGAAGTACATATGTTATCTTTCCCCAAATACTTCCAGTCTATTAACCATGATATAGGGACTACTGAGATAATTTGTAATGAATTTCATTCAAATCAGGCTGTGCTCTTACTTGCAGGCCTTTAGAATGCAAAGATGCATTTTGCCAAAAATAACTGTGAACAGTGTGCTTTTAAGCTTACTAGGAGATCTACCTTGTATCCAAAGACTCAGTGTATTGACAGCAATGAAGGCGCGTGTGGGAAAAATTCTGCTGGGAGCTGTCAGCATGGATTTATGAAATAGAAATCATATCTGGCCAACCTGACAATCTTTTACAACAAGGTGAGGAGTGTGGTGGATGAGAACTACTTCTGTTGATTATCATGTCTTTAGACCCTATGTTCTACCACATTCTTTTTGAATGAAGTACATGTTAAATAAGAGGGCAGTGAGATAGACTGAAAACAGGCGGAATTGCTGGCTTAAAATTTTGTGCTTGTTGGTCCAGCTGGAGGCCAATCACTTATGGCACACTTCTGGGTCCAATACTAAGGCCAACAGTGTTTATTTTCTTCATGAATGACCTGGACATGTGGACTGCAACCTCAGCAAGTTTGCACACGATTCAAGACTGGGATGAATTTATAAATAACTTGAAGAAGTGAAAGAGAATGTGAGAAATAATTAAAACTGTTCAGAGTCGTTGTTATTCCCTACTAACTGACAACTATACCCTTTTCCTGTTTCAGATCTGATCACTCTCAAAATTGTAGAGGGTTAATCAAAGAATTCTTATATTCATTCAGAAACAGAAATTGTCTCAAACATAGAACACATTATTTCAAGAGATGTAAGCCTACTTACCAAAGTTATTTTACCTGACAAATATGGATAAATTTATTTCGTATTTTAGAATGAAATAGAACTATTAAAGTCTTTTTTTTTTTTTAATGTCAGTTTTGTTTTCAGAATACTTTGTGTTTGATATGATGTATATGTAAAATATTTGCAGACGAATCATATAAAGTAGATAAACCATTCATGATCTGAAAACAAAAGTGGTCAAACTGAAAAACAGAATCTGCATGTTACTGTAGAAGTGCTGGAAATGTTCAAGAAGAAATTGCAAAGCAATTTTTGTTTTAGTGACAGCAGATGTAAAGTCAGAGAAGTAAACTTCCACAGTTTTATGAGCCAGTTTAGAAAGCGATAGTTTTTCCATCTCTCTATGAAACTTACCAGACTTACATTGTATTAGATTGAGGTCTTTTTCTTCCCCCCTATTATTGTTCGCAGCATTTCTGTATTCTGTGAGGGAAAAAAGAAAAGAAAAGAAAATGAATCTGGAAAAGAAAATACAGATTTATTTTGGAAAAATATAATAGCTTTGAGACATTGCTCACAATTTATCTTGCATGATAATAGAGAAAATTAATGAATATTCAGAATCTTACATTTACTTCCAAGTACAAGTTGGGGAGTAAATATCACATCTATTTTTACATTCTGTGATTAGGACACCAATCCTCTCTTATAGTAACAACTTGTTTGTTCCTACACAGCGTGTGACTACTACTGGCAAATAAAAAAAAAAAAAAAAGAAAAAAGAA